GTAATTTAATCCAGAGAACAACTGTTTAGACTGTAACTAGAGAATGAACTGGAAAAACTAGGTATAACTACTGATTTACGAGTGAGATCCAGCTTATATTATGGTATGGGTCCCATTCTAGGGTAATGTGCAAAGGGTGTGAAGCGTCATGGTTTCTGGGGCATGATGACACACACTATCGTGGCTTTTTTTAAATTGTAAAGAGATTTATTTATTTGTTTGTTTATTTATTTTGGGTTTTTGTCATAGGTGCACGTACTCACTGGAGAGAGAAAAAGTAAGAAATCACTCCCCAGAGGGGATGGCACGCCACAATCCCCTCTCCTCCTATTCTCCTCTCAGGATTTTGGACATGCACACACATGTGCCTGGCGTGATTTGAGCCAGATTTGAGCCAACGTGATCAGGTCTCTGAGGTCAGCTATGTGAGAGTTCAGTGCTCTAACCACCACGTCACCTACTGGCCACTATCATGCCTCTTATTCAAGCCAGATGGACTACAGCTACTGTGCTCTCCTTCAGTGAAGAGCCACATATGAGTCAAAATTATACTGAATCTCAATGTCTACAACTTAATAAGAGTTAACAGGTCATTTATCATATCTGACAGATGTAATATTATACATTTAAATTTTTAAAAATAATTATTTGGGGCTGGCAGGTGGTGTGGTAGTTAAGGCTCTGGACTCCCACATGGCTGACTATACTTCAAGCCCCAGACCTGGTGGCTTGCTTTCTCACTTTCCCTCTCTCTCCCTCTCTCACTCTGTCCCTCTCTGGTCACATTAAAAAATAAATAAATAAAGTTAAATAAAATAATTCTTTTAAAAAATAATAATTATTATTTACTGGGGACCAGCAAGTGGTGTGGTGGTTAAGGTGCTGGATACTCCCACATGGCTGACCGTGGTTCGAGTCCCAGACTTGGTGGCTTGCTTTCTTACTTCCTCTCTCTTTCTCTCTGTGTGTCTCTGTCAAGTTAAAATAATAATAAATGAATGAATAAATAAAATTAAACAAGTAATTTTTAAAAATGTTTAAATTATTTAATTTTATTAATTTATTAGTTTTCAACTTATTATAGGACACATTTGGTGAGGGAATTGCATGGGCCAATTAATGTGGACAATATTGAATGTGATATGCTGGCAAGGCTGGTGAAATGATCACCTTGGCAAATGTTAAAGGTATGAATTAGGGGAGTGATAATATAGGATTAGATATGTAAAATGGGCTCAAATTCTGAAGGCCAGACAAAATAAGTTGTATAATGTGGTTGAAATATTCTAGGCTGTGTGATAGTCAATATAAAAGAGATAAAATAAATGTGGCATTGAAAGAAGGCTAATTTAGTATATGATTGGTTGGGGCAATGGCACCAGCTAGAAAAATAGTGCCACAATGCAGGCACAGGGTATGGCATGGACCACAAATGACCAATATATGGTGACATTCTACTATCTCCCATTCCCGTGCCCATGGAATATATTGTTAAGTTATTATGGCACTCAACCAGTTGAGCATGGGTGGAACCCTAGCATCATTTTCTCAATGGTATCCTAAGAACTAAATGATATCATATTAAAGGTAGTGAGAAAAATGAGACTTATTTGCAGTCACTGAATTGGCCCATTTAAAATTTCTGGAAGAGACATTTCGATAGGTTTTAATATTCATAAGGTGAAATTAAACCTATAGGATATCTATGAATATCCTAAGTACTTAACTCTCTTTGCTTATGAGCACAAATCTCACTATATCAAACAATAAAGAATGGTTCAGTGACTTATACTTGAATATACATGTATGAAATTCTACTCTAATAAATCAAACATTAACAAAGGTGGTATTTTTAGTTGTTTATATTTTAGCTGTGTCTATGGAAATCACTTAAAATAAGCATTCTCTACTGTTTTTCAGTCTTGGTACACATTATAATATAAACATTTATAAACCTATAATATTAATTATACTTATAGTATATGTCAATTGAGGAAATATATAGTGATAAAATATACAGTGGATTTATTAAACCTTTTCAAGAAATTTGTATTTTATTCCCTATAAAAGCATGTACTTTTAAACAGTTAATAAATAGAAGTGGTTCACATATTTATTCAGATTACTATCACTGCTAGTGTGGATCTCAGGGCTATAAGGAACCACTAAATAAAGGAATGCTCTTTAGAGAGCTTAGAGATCAAATCTTAGTAATGAGGCAATGAAGAAGTAGGGTCACATGAACTCAGATCATGGAAAAGAGGATGACAGAATGCTATGGGTACAGTTTTTCCAGCAGTTTGGCACAAGACATCAATCTTTAAATGTATCCTAACTTTCTCCTTCTTGTCCTGAGAAATTCTGTCACATCTCCTTTACTCCTGGCTGATTAAAATGTATAAGATCATGGGACCAGCAGGTTGCATAGTTGTTAAGGAACTGGGCTTCGACATTGCTGACCGTGTTTTGAGTCCCAGAACCAGTGATTTGAAACTCACACTGGGCACATGTGCATGTGTGCCGAAAATCCTGAGAGGAGAATAGAGAAAAAGGATTGCAGCATAGCCCTCTCCCGTGGGAGTTGATTTCTAGGTTTCTCTCTCTCTGTCTCTCCAGTGAGTACATGCACCCTATAGCAAAAATCTCTCTAAAAATAAATGTATAAGGGCATAATTATCATCTAATAGATGGTCTAAACCCATAGATGCTTTCACTCAGATGATCACAACCTTTTGTCAATTAGCTATTTTAATAGGCATGAGTTTGTGGGAACTCTGGTAAACATGAGATGAGGAGACAAGAAACCAGTCCTGTCATTTATTCCAATTACAGACAGTGCTAGTCAGTCTTTTTTTATTTTTTTTTTTGGCATCTGCATGTTTTGTTTAATATTGTATTCTCTTCCTGTCTCCTTCATTTACCCCACTATGCCAATGAGTTTACAACTCATATTCAGAATTGTTTATCTGTACTGTCTTAAAATTATCTAGGATCTCTTTCTTTCTTGATTTTACTACAGAAACATTTGAAGTAAGTAAAAATTCCTGGTAATTTAAAGGTAGCAAAATTTACAACTGCTTGCTGTTGTGGACATTCTGTAAAAATGCATTTTCTCAAGTAGCTAGGTAGGTCAAGGATCATAAGGATTAACCTGATAAAGGCCAGAACACAGTCAGAAAAATACTAAAAGTGAATTATGACTTAGACATCTTGGGAAAGAATGAAAGCAACATGTAACCCACGAAAGGATGAAGAGAATTAATTTAATTAATTTGAAGTAGTGTAAGTGTGTAAAAGTAAAGATTCATATAGCCTGGATTTAGGGCCTTCATAGAACCAGTATTTGTTTTGCATAAGCTGGGGCAATGTATTAAAAAAAAGAAATAAAGCAATTATTACTTATTACTTTAGAGAGGAAGACATTTAGAGCTCTGGTACATAGGCTGCACATAAAGACAGATTGGAATTCAGAATGACAGATATTTTGGATAGCTGAGAAACACAGGCATGATTCTCATCCTCACAGAACTTGGATTATAGCATGCTATCATAGAAAGCTTTGTGTACTGAGAAGTATCTAGAACTAGGAGATGTACCTGTAACTTAACTGCTAAGTGATAAATCATCTGACTGTTCAGTTCCTATTTGTAGACATCTTCACCACCAAGATAGAATCCATTTACATATGTACCCATCTTCTCCTTCTTACCTGTTATAACAGAAGAAGTGCTTCTAAAATTACCTTGCCATGTAGTCTAGCATCCTCTCTGAAGAAATATTGGTCTTCGGAGACTAGCAAATAGTGTAATGGTTATGTCACTGGAATCTCACCTAGTTAACTGTGGTTTGAATTATGGACCCCTTCAGGCAAGTGGCATGGTGGTTAAGGATTCTGGATTCCCACATGGCTGAATGCAGTTCGAGTCCACACCTAGCAGCTTGCTTTCTCACTTTCCCTCTTTCTCCCTCACTCTGTCCCTCTCTGGTCACATTAAAAAATAAATAAATAAAGTTAAATAAAATAATTCTTTTAAAAAATAATAATTATTATTTACTGGGGACCAGCAAGTGGTGTGGTGGTTAAGGTGCTGGATACTCCCACATGGCTGACCGTGGTTCGGGTCCCAGACTTGGGGGCTTGTTTTTTTACTCTCTCTGTGTGTCTCTGTCAAGTTAAAATAATAATAAATGAATGAATAAATAAAATTAAACAAGTAATTTTTAAAAATGTTTAAATTATTTAATTTTATTAATTTATTAGTTTTCAACTTATTATAGGAAAGATGTGCTCACCAAAGAGAGACAGAGAGGGGAGGGGGGTAAAGTGAGAAAGCAAGCCGCCAGGTCCAGGAGGACTTGAACTGCAGTCAGCCACGTAGAGTCTAGTGCCATAATCATCATGCCACCTGCTGACCCTAAGTGTGAAATCTTTCATTGTGTACGTAAAGTATCATGTTTAGTATCATGACCATGACCACTGCTGCCATCATCAGCCTCATCACAGCTAACACTTCTTAATCGCATCACCATCACCACTATTACCACCACTACCATAACCACCATAATCACCACGACCACTGTTACCCCACTGCCATCACTACCGCCATCACCACCACTGCCACAATCATTGTGAGTAACGTTTGTCATGGTCTCATCATCATGAGTAACACTTATCAAGGTCTTACTATGTCTTGGGCACCACATAACGAGCTGCCCCCCAGTCATGACCAAGCTTATAAACACTATTATTACGTACATATATATATATAATTGTATAGATATATATAATTGTACATATAATTGTACACACTATTATTACGTACATATATATATAATTGTATAGATATATATAATTGTACATATAATTGTACATACTATTATTATGCTCATTTTATAGATGAGGAAACTGAATAATGCAACAGGCTAAAAATTTACTCAAGTTCACAAAGTGAGTCAAAGATGAAGCCAGGATTTGAACCCAAACATCCTATCAGACTCACCTGTTATCAGGGGGCATCCGTGGAAGAGTAATATCCGTATCTGAGGACAGGAAGTGAGGACAGCTTCTACGGCTTCATCAGTCAAGTTTACACAATGTCCCATATGAATCTCCTATTTACAAATAAAAAAAGAAAAGCAAAAGCAAAAAGCAGTCTATAAGAATAGCATGAAAGAGTTTGGAAAATACTCATACAAAATACCAAATATCTACTGCAAGAAAAACTATACAGAAAGGACCAACATGAGTCAAAATAATTGGGAAGGTGAAGCAGCTTTAAAGTTAAATCCCCTGGGCCAACCAGGTGGCACAATGGTTAAGGTGCTGAATCCCACATGGCAAACTCTGCAGTTCAAGTTCTGGACCCAGGGGCTTGAGAAACATGCCAGGCACGTGTACATGCATGCCAGAAATCCTGAGGAGACTGCAGAAGAAGGAACTGTGGCATGGCCATCTCCCAGGGGGTGATTTCTCACTTTCCCTCTCTCAGTCTTTCTCCAAGAAGTACACATGCCCAATAACAAAAAGCTAAAAACAAACAAAAACAAATAAATAAAAAGTAAAATACCCAATCATTTTATATTAGGTTGTCAAGAAAACCATGTTGAATTTTTCTATGATTTTCTATGCAAAGATGTGTCATGATTTTCCTGACAACCCAATAAACCAATTTGGTAATGTCTACCAAAGCTGAAGCAAGTATAACCTAGAGCATAGCATTTATAATTGTAGATGCTCTCTGCAAAGAAACTCTTTAACATGTGCACAAGGAAACAATTTATAAACATGCCCACTGAAATAATACTTGCGGGACCAGCGGTTGGCGTAATGGCTATGTCACTGAACTCCCATGTAGTCGACCGCGGTTCTAGTTCTGGACCCGGTAGCTTAAACTCACGCTGGGCGCATGTGCATGTGTGTCCAAGATCACAAGAGGAGAATGGAGGGGAAAGGATTGTGGCGTGGCCATCCTCCCGGGCAGTGATTTCTCAGTTTCTGCCTCTCTGTCTCTCTGTCTTTCTGGCAAGCACATGTGCCCTATAGCAAAAACCTCTAAAAAAAAATATTACTTGCAATAGTAGAGTGGTGGAGAATAGGTAAAAGAAAAATAATTTATTAATATATTGGAATAAGATAAAACAGTTAAAATGAAAATTAGCTACTTATATTTAATAGACGTAAATGTCAAAGACAAAGTTCAGATCCTTTGGAAAACAGTATAGTAGTATCTTATAAAGCTACACAACTTTACTTCTATGTATTTACCCATGAAAAATGAAAATATACACCTACAAAAAAGACCTATATATAACATTCCACAATGGGATACCTAAGAGTTAAAAATCAGAACAACCTAAGTGTCCATCAAATGGTTAAAAGTATAAACAAATTCTGGCATAGCTTTACTATGGAATACCATTCAGCAAGAAAAAGAATGAAACATCAACACCTGCAACAATATGGATGAATCTCAAAAACATTATGTTAAGTGAAAGAACTAAAATAAAAGAAGTAAAAAACAAAATACTATATTCTATAATTCCATTTATATAAAATTGTTAAAAAGGCAAAACTATAATGACAAAGTGAGTCAGTGGTTACCTGAGAGAGGGTCACAGCAGGAGATCAACTACAAAGGTATAGGAGAAAACTTTCTAGGGTGATAGAAATGTTCTTTATTGTGGGGATGGCATGACTATACAATAATTACTAAAATTTTCCAAACTGTACACTGAAAATATGAATTTCCTTGAATGTAAATTATATCTCAATAAAGCTTTTAAAATGTACAATTTTGAATAGAAAAGCAGGGGTGGCAGATGGCTTGGTGATTAGAGGCACTAGACTCCCGCATGGCTGACCATGGTTCGAGTCTCAGACCTGGTGGCTTGCTTTCTCGCTCTCTGTCTCTCTCTGTCCCATTCCAGTTAAATTTAAAAAAATAAAAATAAATGAACAAACAAATACATAAATAGAAGTTAAATAAATAATTAGAAAACCAAAATAAAAAGCTAATCTCATGTACCAGCCAAGTGGCACGGTGGTTAGGGCAGCTGGAGCCCAATGGCCAACTGCAGTGTTTGAGTCCCAGACCCAGGGGCTAGAGGAACATGCTAGGAGCGTGTATATAGGTACCCAGAATCCTAGAGGAGAATGGAGGAGAAGGGACTGTGGTGTGGCCATTCCCCTTGGCCACTTTTCTTCTCTGTCTCTCTCTCTGTGTCTCTTTCCAGTAAGTGCACAAACCCTATAGAAAATTTAAAAGAAAAAAAAAGCAAATTGTAAAATAAAAAAGCATTATAAAACTATTACATAAAACTTTAAAACACATAAAGCAATGCTATGTCTTGCTTATAGATTTATACATACACAGAAAAGTATACAAATATTCAAGGAGAGACATAATTAGGGTAGTGGTAACCTCTAAAGGAAGAAAGGCAGAATAAATGGGAAGGGCATTAGCTATAATTTTACATTATTTTAGAAAAAGAACTGATGTAGATATAGAAAATGTCAAAATTTAAATGGTTGGTCCACAGGTCCCTGGTATGTTACTTCTTATACTTTTCCATATATTGGAATTATTAGATATCCTTACTAGATGTTTTAACTATAATCCTTTTGCACTGCTGGTGGGGATGTAAAATGGTACAGCCTCTGTAAAAACTGTGTGGTAGTTCGTCATAAAAGTAAACATAACTACCATATGCCCAGCACTTTCACTTCTAGGTATTACACATACCCAAAAGAATGGAAATTTGGTAACTGAACAGATTCTTGTATACCCATGTAAACAGCATTCTTTATAATAAACAAAACGTGGGGGAAAAACCCACAAATTATAATCAATTACATCTTACAAATAAGGGTGTATTAAGCCTGAGTCTATTAAACACTCACTAAAAATGGAGGCACAAAGCAGCTTGTGTTATAAATTGGCAAAGGCAGAGAAATACAACATGGGAACGACAGACGGAAGCAATAGTGCTTAACTCGGGAACTATTTAAAAGATGTGAAATCAAGGCATTAAGAAAAGAAAATACATGATTCTGGTGACTTGTGAATTCACAGAATAACCTTTACAGAAAACAAGTTGGTAATATGAATTTAGAACTGTTAAAAAATATTTATGCCTATGGATTAATTTGTTCCATTTTTATTCCCAAATGAAAAAAGTGGTATGCCCCAACATATGATTATTTGTAAAAACTAAAAATAATATTGATTACAAAAAAAAATGATTAAAGGAAAGTGTGTTACATCAAATGGGCAGATCTCATTCTCTGATATGCCAGTACCCAGAACAGCAGTTTTTTTTTTTGAGAGATTTTTGTTATCGGGCACATGAGCTTACTAGAAAGACAGAGAGAGACAGAGAGACAGAAAGAGAGAAATCCCCCCCCCCAGGGGGGGTGGCCACGCCACAATCCCTTCTCCTCCATTCTCCTCTCAGGATCTTGGGCATGCACGCACACTTGCCTGGCATGAGTTTTAAGCCACTGGGTCCAGGACTCAAACTGCAGTCGACTACAGGGGAGTCCAACGACATAGCCATTACACCAACTGCTGGTCCCAGAACAGCAGATGTTTAATAAAATTTATGAATAAATGAAATTTAGTACATCAAATTAAAATTTTAATTATGAAGGTTATAGAAGCTTATGACATAATTGTAATGTAAAATGATGAATGTGATAACATTTAATGAAATACTATTGTGTGTCTGAAGTTCAGTAAAAGCCAAAAATAAAATAATGAACTAAATGATAAACAATGAGGTACCTGCCCCCGGGGAACTCATATCAACAGAAATTTCAGAAACAATTATGATATTCAATCAATGATGTAATATAAGTTTGTACGATGTATCTGTCAATGGAAGAGGTCCCTAGATCTTTTTTTTTTTTTTTTTTGAGAGGTTTTGCTATAGGGTGCGTGCGCTCACCAGACAGAGAGAGACAGAGAGACAGAAAGTGAGAAATCACCCCCCGGGGGGATGGCCACACCACAATCCCTTCTCCTCTATTCTCCTCTCGGGATCTTGGGCATGCATGCACCGGCATGAGTTTAAGCCACCGGGTCCCAATAAAAGTTATTTTCAAGTTATAAATAATTTAAAAACACAGACAACTTAATTTTTCAGAATAGGACAAATTAAAAAGAACATATTAAAATAGCAACAGACTGGGGCCAGCAGGTGGCATGGTGGTTAAACCCCACATGACCAACAGTAGTGTGAGTCCTGGACCTGGCAGCCTGAAAATCACGCTGAGCACATGTGCGTGTGTACCTAAAATCCCAAGAGGAGAATGGAGGAGAAGGGATTGTGGCATGGGCGTCCCCCTCACCAAGGGGGTGATTGTCTCTCTGGCAAGTGTATGCACTCTATAGCGAAAACCTAAAAATAAATAAATAGATAGAAAGCTGCTACATAGATCACCATGTGATTAAAAGGTAGAAATACCTTTGTTACCTACAAGAATATAGCCAGTAAAAAATTATTTAGAAGTCTTTATTTCAATTTGGATCAGAAATTGTGATAATAAAAATCCAAAGGTTAAAGCATATTCACTTTGTTTAAGAAGGAATTAAATTCAGGACCAGCAGATGGGGCAAATGGTTACATCACTGGATTCCCACATAGTAGACTGGGCTTCAAGTTCGGGACCTGGCAGTTTAAAACTCACGCCAGTTGCATGTGCATATGTGCCCAAAATCCCAAGAGGAGAATAGAGAGGAAGGGATTGTGGCGTGGCCATCCCCTCTGGGAGGGGTGATTTCCTCACTTTCTGTTTCTCTGTCTCTCTCTGTCTCTCTGGTGAGTGCCCTATAGCAAACATCTCTCCAAAAAGAAAAAAAATTAGTAAAAATTATTGCCCTCACCCTTGTGTTTAGGGTACAATTTAGAATTTAGGAACTTAATACAAGAATAATATGGTAATTACTTTTTTTAATTAAAAAATAAAAAAAATTATAACAGAGGGACCAGGAGATGGTGTAAAGGTTGTATCATTGGACTATCACAGTCAATGGTGGTTCAAGTTCTGGACCCAGCAGCTTAAAACTCACACTGGGCGTGCATGCATGTGTGCCCAAAATCCTGAGAGGAGA